AATCCTTCCTCATATGACATCACTGGGCAGTGCTCTGGCGACAGAGTTACGCAGAACTCCGTCTGTGGTTTCGCTATGGCGGGCTTAGAGTGAAGCAGGCTTACTCTTTGGGCAACTTTTAACGCCGGTACTAATTAACCACACAGTTTTAAAGAATGAATTTGGTGTTCCGCATAAGACTGACCACAAATCTTTCATATGTAATAGTTAAAAGAGTTTATTTGTTCTTTTAAGTATGTCCAGATAAAAGAAATAATTACTTAAAAATGAAAGAACCAATATTCAACAACATAAATAGGTTGCTCATAATGGACTGTCCATCATAAAGAGAAAATTCCAGAAGGTACATTAAGACACAAAGGATTCCTTCCTTTTGTGATATATCTATTCTTTCTCTGCCATCTGAAAAGACATTCATATCCTCAAAGCAACCCCCTTCAGGCAGTTTTCTCATGTATCCTTAGCATAGGTCCCACCATGTAGGAACAAATGCACTGAAATGGGAAAAGAATGCTTTTAATGGATGAAACAGAAGAAAGGAACTAATATTATGTGTTTGAATTCAAAGGGATGTTACAAGCCTGGAACCAAATCTTGCTTACACCTTCAACTTGAGTCATATTCACACAAACTGGAAAATTACTCTAGACTCAACTATGACAATGAGTGTAAAGCCACTAATAAGATGAACACAAACAATACACAAAACTACAAAAGCTCCTGATCATGCTCAAAATTTGATCATTAGTTTCCTACTAAGACTGTAATTAACATCTGTCCAGTCAAACCTATAAGCATATCTTGACTAATGAAGGTTGGATTAAAATATTATTGATCTTACAAGTTTATTTATCAATGTATATTGTTGTTAATGTCTCAAATACATTTAATGGTGTGGGATTGCATAAATCAATTCAGATTACGATATGCCTTGATTATATCATAGCTGTTTTCACTTCCTATTCCATTGATGTTTTGATTGGTTGTATAAGCTAACTGTAAACAATAATAATAACATCGTGTTGTTATAACTAGCAAACAATAAGGTACCCGTACAGGGACTTGCTTTTTATCCAACAGGAAAAACACATTAAATACTGAGGTTGTTAGACTTAGTTTATGGGTTTAGTTGTCATCACTTATTTTTGACTCAAATTATTTACTTTGAATATTTTAGTTAAGTCTACAGCAGACAGTAACCTAAATTTGTAGGCTTCTCACTTCACGGCCATGTACTACCTGAGTATGGGTGCCTATGTATGGGTCCCTATGTATGGGTATACGAAAATGTTTTTCATGTCATATTTCACATTTTCTGTTATTTTAACTTCCCGAATGAGACGTAAAATAACAGTCACTTTCATTTTGGTAAAACAATTTCAAAACAATTCTCACCATTTCTCTGATTTTGACCACGATAGAAATATTACCTGCGATGTAGACAATAAAATACTGTTTTTAACTTTTGCTGCTTGTATAGCTTCGGGAATAGCTCCTTCAAACCACTTCATTGTTCTAGAAAAATATGCAAATCATGTAAATCTACGTGTTTTCCCACTGATGGTTTCTTTCCGGAAGTTATCCTTTCCTTGGCGAGCGTTCCGCCAAGGGAAATAACTCCCAATACATTATGTCTCGCGTATACATTATATTGTCAATTTTCACCGTCCGTACTCGGCGGAAATAGCTAAAAATAGGAAGGAAGGAATTGGATGGTACTAAGAGAATCACAATCTGTATTCGGTGTTTGACACGCTGCATTACTCAATTTGTGTCTATTAAACCACTTACCAAATCACTAGTCGGTAAAAGAATGAACATGGACAAAATGGCGGAAGTACCGTGTGACAGAATTTACTGATCATTTGCATACTATGTTTAGACAGCTGACACAACAGGAAGATTAGGACCATGTCAGTGATGTCTCTTAATACGGTACGTATCTTATGTTGCATTTTGTTCTTAAGGTGTTCAGAACATTTAAATCGGCGTGGTTCACTATTTGACAACAAAGCAGGCCATTGGCGCAGCTAGGGTCCGCTTAGCAAGTTTCCAAATATAGCTGCAAACAATACCCCGAACAGAACGGAGGTCCACTCGTCATATCAGGCGAGTGAGACATTGAATGCACAGCTATCTACTTAATGGAATTTGACCCACACTGAATGGGCCTCCTTTCAACATGAGTTGCATGTTTGAATAACATGTATGTCAACATGTCCTCTCCGGTTAGTTAATCGTTTATTACCATAAAAAATTGAAACATCAAATTATTATTCCTTTTATCTGAGGTCATGTGAGCCACTGAATACACTTTTGTTCACAATCACATGATTGTGTATCAAAGTATTCAAACTGTTCTAAGTACCATCTTGATGTTGAGTACACTATTACAGAATGAGTTATGGATCTACTGGATATGTAGCCAATTACAAGGTATGAATATGTTCGTTCTAATTTGTGAAACATAAGTTAAACTGCATGATAAGGTAAGATCACAATTGTTTGTGTTTATAACATTGAATAGTTTGATTTTGATGGCTACGTTATCAATGGTTATTGATTCAGTCACATATATAAGTGCATGAAGTTAGTCTGTGTTCAGTATTTGAAAGCAGGAAGTGATATGATAAATTTTGAAAGATTGACAGTTTAGAAACTTAAATACTTCACTCACTATTTCTCAAACATTCTGAAGTGGCTATGGCTGCTAGTTGAGTGATTCTGGAATCTCATGCTAGCCATGGGAGTCAACTAGGAATTGCAAAATGGCGATCCAGTGCTTATGTTGTTTGACTTGGCTGCTTGTTTTTCCTATTACTCTGATGATAGTGATTGTTGTTCATGCTTTCAGGCACTGGTTTTATTGGTGTAGACACATCTCTTGTCCATGTCCAAACTAGATCTCAGCAACCAAATACTATGTCTAAAATACTAAACACTTAAAGAACAAATAAACTTTGTTTTTTTTACTCTTTTAACTATTACATATGAAAGATTTGTGGTCAGTCTTATGCAGAACACCAAATTCATTCTTTAAAAACTTGTGGTTAATTAGTACCGAGCGAATAAAAGTTGCCTAAAAGTCGCCTGCTTCACTCTCGCCCGCCAACGAAACCACAGACATGTTACGTAACTCTGTCGCCAGAGCACTGCAGTGACGTCATATGAGGAAGGATTTTCAGTTAGTTGTATATAAAGTGTGTAGCAAGCTCGTCATTTTGATGATTTCTCGACATCAACGAAGAGATGCCAAATCGTTGCGTTGTCGTCAGTTGCTCCTAGAGGTCGGGCGATGGTCTCGCCATGCACAGATTTCCACAGGACCCCGCAGTTCGTGCAAAATGGGTTATGTTTGTGAGTGCGAAGCGAGCGTTGTGGAAGCCTGAAACGATATCTTACTTGTGTTCAGATCGCTTCACAGAAGTTAAAGAATCAAAACTACTTACTAGTCGTAGTAAAATATGTATATGATTGATGACCATAAAGATTTTCCATGACACAACTTGTAACATAACGATTTCTTCCTCAGAAGCGAGGTTGTGGTCAAAGTAACAGTGATACTGTAAGTAGTATTATATTGACACCCACCTCGCTTCCACGAGAGAAATTGTTATGTTATATGCTATGTCATGCAAAATCCTATTGGCCATCAATCAAATACATATTTTACTATCAGTAGAAAGTAGTTTTGATTTTGTAACTCGGTGAAACAAACCTAAATAGCATTTATACTCAGACTGGCGGATGTTCGCGACAGGGCGCTGCCATTTTTGAAAATCGTGAAGTCACGGGCTAAAGTCTGTTAGAATATTAATGAGATTATGGTTTGTTTTCATCAAGTTAGAAAATCAAAACTACTTTCTACTCGGAGTTAAATATGTATTTGAATCATAACCAAAAGCATTTTGCATGACACAACTTATAACATAACGATTTCTTCCACGGAAGCGAGGTGGGGGGTTGAAATGACAATACCAAAGCGACAAATTTCTTGCTACATTCACGTGGTTAACGTGCACTCACCAGTATGTAGATACTAGTCAATGTACGTCTTTATATTTGGTCTTATAATCCTAATTAGTTTATTATCATACTTGTATGCATTTTGAAACTAAATAAAAAGCAGACGATCTGCTGATACTTATAGTGCATTTATAACAGGACTGTAATATCTAGACATTTTATAGTTTGCCAATGTGAATGATAATTCGCACACACGCCCTAGTGTATGTCTCATTACACTTCATGGCTTAAAACAATGATTCTGTTGAATGCTACAACAAATGAATAAAAAATAAATGCAAATATTAAAATTAAAACAGGTTAAATTCATAGGAACAATGTCAGGCTATTACCTTGTTCGAGGAATGTATCCATCAATATCCACAAAAACGAGTGATATGCCATTCATCTGCAGCTGTTCAAAGTAATGTGTCTTTTAACAGTGTAGTATACGAAAAAGTGACATCGTTTCAGGCATGTCACATTGGTGCATAGTCTCATTGGTCACCCAAGATAGCACACCTGGCAACTGATTGCATAATGTCCGCCATTCTTTAAAAACGGTAATTTAGTTAGCCAATAATGAGCAATCAATCACTGTATTGGCGGTTAATCCTTTGAAGGAAGGACGTTGTTTTTACGCAGACACAGACACGACAGAGTGTATTCAGTACAGATTAGTAAATCTACAAACATAAACACTACCTTTTGACAAATCTGCTGTGTAAGATAAAAGTAATTAATCAATCAGCGTGTTATCGGTTAATCCTTTGATCGATGTTTATAATGTTGAATATTTACTCCAGACACAAGAAATGCCAAATGGGAACCTTTTTCGGGTAATCTAAGTGGTGTTACCACTAATTATACCTATTATAAATTTGTTAACTGACCATCAAGTGAATGATGACAAATAACATGTGTAGATTTATACCACCTAACACGGGTTACAACGAGGGAGAATTAATTGCTGTATTGCATGCAATTTTAATTGCATGTGAAAACTTATGGGCCGACACTGTTTTGAGAATACAAACAGAACTTCATTGTTGCATAAGAAATACATATAAGCATTTGCTGTGTGCTAAAACTGTATGTACCTATTTACCTAAGTAAAATTTCAGATTCTTCTAGCAATGGCAAAATAGGGTTGTTTAGTTTACCGATTCAAATAAATCAAATGTCAATTTTTAATATCATACGTAATAGACGTCATATTTTTACATGACATGATTAAATATCGAGGTAAAAAAACACAGAAATGGGATCAATTTGGATCAGTCATTATACAAATAAGGCCTAACAACACCAAGCGATTTTGACAGAATCGTCTATGAAAACAAGTTGTAACTTGGAAACTAGGCAAAGCAGGAGACAAAATTATATGACAGTAGATTGTGAGAACATATAGCTTTCATTTTCCACAACAGTTGTCACGATTTCAGGTTTGTACAAACCTGTAAACAAGATAATTTACCCCCTGAAATGTAGATGAATTCTGCATCGGCCCTCATATCTATTCCTCATATGACGTCACAGAGACGCCCTGCTCTGATTGGTTGAAATTTCGTTCGCGGTTGAGAATTGTGCACTGTTGTCAAAAAGGTCAATTTAAGTTGATTAAAGATTGAAGTGAGTAGTTTTAATGACGGGGTTTCATTTATAGCGATGCCAGTTAGTGATTTATGTATTTGTACCCCCCTAGAGTATATGTGATCTTTAAGAAACACATAATTTCTTGTTATGTTATGTTTCTGTCAGTATTTTGCTCGTTAGGTTTTGTATTTCACTTGCGAAACAAACAACAGTCATGAATCATTTGTATGACAATGTGGTGCTCCAACATTCAGTTAAGAATTGGCTTTGACTTTGTGGGAGTTTCACGGAGAATGAACTTTAATGGAGCAAAGGCTACACTGTATGAACATTGGAGTTTGATATTCAAATAATACCTTTAGATGATAAGAGTGTCTGCATCAGTTAGTTGATCAGAGTAACAGTTTGTCATAATTCATTTGCATCAAATACATTTACTTACAAATGGCTGACATGATAAACAAATGAACGATAAACATGATAGGTGAAATTTCCAAATATGTTCATGAACTTTAGGTGATGAAAGTGTCAGTCATCCGATTGTTGATCAGTTACCCGATTGTTGAAGGATGATCTTAAAGATGTGTTCAAAGGATTGTAAAGTAAATTCTTACAGTTTTATTCAGGAATGTCGAAATAGTCTGTCTTTCATTATGTCACTTTCATGAATAGAGTCTCTCAGTTCTTTATTCATGTGAATGTACTTTATGTAGGCCATCAGCCGATGATACAACGTTATACATCAGCAGCCTTTAACTTTAAGCTGCAGCGAGGACGATTGTTAGCATAAAAAATGAACAAGGCAAGATTTCTTAATGGAAATGATGTGAACATGATAATGTGCTGATGATTTTGATTCCTGTTATATATGACCCTGATAATAGGGTCATGACTTGATTATTTACAGAACTGCAAAGGGCAGTTTCTACCCAGACACGGTGAAATGAAACTGATGGTCTAGCTGATACATTACTTTATTTCATGAACAGCTTTTATTCGTTATTCATTCATAAAAATGAGCATGACAAATTTGCTTCTTCTGTATAAGGTTTTGTGTTACATTATTGGCGATTGGTGCATTTAGTCTCTCTTCACCAATCCAAGCTTATCATAGTTTCACTGACCACTTCAATTCATCTTCGAATGAACACCACAATAACCAATTTTGCAAATTTTGTTTTGTAGAGTAGAGTTTAACCTACCAATCCTTGGAATTTCTGATTTATTAGGAAGCAATTGGTGCTATAAAAGTGGACTATTATTATTACGGTTATTGTTATAAATCCTGTGTGTAAACATTTGCTATATATCTTAGTATTTGAACTAGGCTGGTA